TCCTTCCCTCCCCCTTCCCTCCCGTTCCCCCCCCTCCATCCCTTTTGGAGATTGACCTTGACCTTCGAAATTATTATATCTTAAATGACAGATTTTTCTCTTTTTTTTGGGGTCTTTTTTTTTATTATTATTTTTTTCAAATAAGAATTCATCACTTCATTCCAAAATATTGAATAGCATACGACATTTCTAAAAATAGAAGTTTTCAAATTGTCATTTCTGAAATGGTCCAAAGAAAAAAAAAAAAAAAAAAAAAAGGTTTCACTTGTGAAGCTCTTGAGTTCCCTCCCAATGGATGAGTACTACGGGCACTTCCTGAGGCCTGGCTTCCACCGTCTACTACACCCTGGACCTTAAAAAAAAAGGAAAAAAAAAAAACAAAAAAAATCCTCCTGGGTTCCTCAACGCTCCCTCCACCGCGCACGACGTGCGCAAAAGGAAAAGTCCTTTGGGACATCCGTTAAAATTGGAATGCTGCAGATTTTTTTTATTTTTTATTTTTATTTTTTATTTTTTTAATTGTAGAGAAGACTAGCAAGACCCCTGGGCAAGGATGTCACGGATGAAGAATATGGAAATGGTCCCCCCCACAAGAAAAAAACAAAAAAAATAGATTTCACTGTGCGTCAACAGGGGGAATACACGCGAAGGCACCCCGAATGAAAAGTGCCTTGTTCAATACTTGCCCCCCCTTAAAAAAAGAAACCCTTTTTTAATTCGGGGTGCCTTCGCGTTTTTACCAGCTCTTTTTGTTGTTTCCTAAATTTGGACCATTTCTCGATTTCTGCGTCTCATCCCGCGCAGGGGGCCATGCTAATCCTGTCTGTACCAGTCGGGATGTCCCAAAAAGGGAAGTTCTTACCAGCTTTTGGAAAAATAAAAATAAAAATCCCGAAATAAATTAAGAGGAGAAAAGAGAGATTAAAGTCTCCGATTCAAGCCAGATCCAAGGTTGAAAAAGGGGACCATAACCAGCTGGAATTATTTGAACCAAGCCTGATCCAAGCCTGACCCAAGCCTGATCCAAGCCTGACCCAAGCCTGATCCAAGGCTGATCCAAGGCTGATCCAAGGCTGTAATTTTTGTGTTTTACCTATTTATGGTGTGATAGAATTAGCTATAAAATAATAATAATAAAAAAGCTATATTTTATGGTTTTATTTGGCAAATTTCTCAAGAGAAAATAGCTGAGAGATCTAATATGTGGATACTTTGAAGGATAAGAAAGATAATAAATAAAGGGCCCATTGGAACAGTTAGTTATGAAGATCCAAGCTTGATGCTCTTATGGATGGATTTAGGCGAGGACGTAGTTGTCCAGATCACATGTGTAGACTGAGAGAGTGGAGTTTTGCTGCAGTGGAATTCATCGGGGACTCTGGTGGGGGGGATAGAGAAAGGAAGCTTACAGGTACGACCCGCTAGCAAAGAGGATTGGATTAAGTGCCTGAATCTGGATGGGTTTTAAGCTGAACATGCAGAAAATCAGAGCAATCCCCATTTTCTGCACCCGTTCCGAAACACGTCCAGATTCAGGTTTTTTGTCCCTTTTCTGTAAATTCCTCCTCGAAGGAGAGAGTGGAGCTTTGCTGCAGTGGAATTCATAGGGGACTCTGGTGGGGGAGATAGAGAAAGGAAGCTTACAGGTACGACCCGCTAGCAAAGAGGATTTGATTCAGTGCCTGAATCTGGATGGGTTTCAAGCTGACATGCAGGAAATCAGAGCAATCCCCATTTTCTGCACCCGTCCCCAAACACGTCCAGAAAGATTCAGGCGTTAAATCCAATCCTCTTTGC